AGTTACATTCGACTCTCATAGATAACAAATTAAAGAGAAAATTAATCAAAATCAACTTCTGCAAAACACCGTGACAAAAGAACCTGGGCAAGATTGTTAATAAAAATAATAGTAATTATAAGAAATAAGTCACGTAAAATACCCTAGTACTGGGACGTAAATAAGTACTGCGCAAAAAAAAAAAAAAAAAAATAAAAAATAAACATAATAATAACAAATTAAAGTGTTAAATAAGGAAATTCGAACCATTTTGAATAAATATCTTATCAGAGCATGCACGGTATTGAATAAGATCGGTGGAAGAACCTATACGATACTCCAGTTTAACTTACAAATACAAAAATGAACTGTTATGGGGGTATTCGATTCAACAAAGCCTATCTATACAGGTCATGAGAATATCAAGGAATTTTTAATCTACTTTGAAGCATACGCAGCTTCAAAAGATTGGAATAATAGCAAAAAGAGCCTAGTAATTGTACTACACATAACAGATAGGCTAAAACCATCAATGATGCAACTAATGAAAATTCATTCAAAATGGGAAGACCTAAAAGCAGCTATGACAAAGAAATAGGCAACTTCATCGGATATTAATGAAAAGTTGGAGCATTTAAAAAATATGGTTCAAGAAACTGATGATACTGTCTAGATGTATACTAACTGCTTTGACGCCTACGTTGCTGAAGTACAAGATCAATTAAGGGATCTTGAAAAAAGAGAATGGTACATACAAGGCCTTCGAAACCCATATCGAGAAAAAGTTGTTGGTTTGCGCCCAGATACGTATGAAGTCGCAAAAGATTTAGCAATTAAAATGGAAAAATATGATCGGGATAGAGAGTATATTAGTAAAAATCCAGTTCAAATTATTAATAAGGAAAGCAAACCAGTCAGAAATGAGGTTAATGAACTCTCAACTGTCCATAAGGTTTGTCGCGTTGATGATCAAAATTTTCCAAATTTGGAAAGACTGGATCGAATAGAAACAAGCATTGTAGAATTACTGAAGGGCATACAAACCCTTATGGAAAGAAAGTACGACTTACCTCAACACAGGACATTATCTCCAAATACAGCACGAAACAGAGGAAACATGAGTCAGAACAGAAGTCTGTCTCATAGGTGCTATACATGCAATCAAGAAGGGCATTTGTCACGCGATTGTCCTAATCGGTCCAGGAACAATCGAACTACTAATCGGTCAAACCTAAACCAAAATGATCAGGCAAACAATTCGAATGTGAGAGGAGCTGATGTAAGACTTTTTGAGGTTATGGAAAAAATAACGAAGGAGGATGAATATCTTATGATACATGTAAATGATGATGAGACATTATTTGATATTAGAAATCTTGGGAAAAGACAGCGTTCGAATTTAAATGAGGTTACACATGCATCCAAAAAGAGAAAAAGCGAAGAACCAACGGAGCCCATTGACTTAATCAACAATAAGATTCCCGCTAAGGGATCAGTCATGTACATACTGATGACTGAATTGAGTCAAGAAGTTGACATTCTTAAACTAATAGCTGAAAAGGAGATAACTATTACGTTGGGTCAACTATTCAAATGGTCTCCTAAGGCTCGCAACAAGGTACTCAAGGCATTGGCGAGAAAAAAGCGTGAGGATGAAGTTCTTTTCATGAATGCAAAGATCGGAATTATACGAGGAGTTTTTGAAAAAAATGAGCTAAAATTAGGAGATGTGCCAATGAGCACACCCAAAATAAATGGAGAATTGGTCTCAGCACCTGTGAATCCAGGGTCACGTTTAAATCTAATGCATGAGAAATATGCGCGAAAGCGAGGATTCACTTGGCAACCAGCTACGAAAGGAGGGCGTATGGCAGATGACCGTTTGAGTAAATTTGTGGGATGTGTCGCGAATGTTGAAATAGATATGAAAGGAATTATAGTACACCAGGAGTTTTATATTATGGAAGCTGCAAGTTTTGATGTGCTACTTGGCATGCCTTGGTTAGCTGCGTCTAAATGTAGTTTAAAGTGGAAGGATAATAAACTTTGGTGCAATGTAGAATCGGAAGAAAGAAAAGCGGTATTCATAGCTTCAGTAGTACTAATTAGTTGGATAAACGCAAGTGATAGAGATAGTGAAAGCGATGAGGAAGATGTCGAAGATTTGCTAGAAGTACGAAGAGTGAAAATAGAAACATTGAAAGTAGAGAAGGCAAAACAACAGTTAGGGGACGTTGTATGTAGAGGTTCAAATATTGATAAATTAATAGTTAAAGAAGTTAATAGTATTGACAGTAATTATATGATTGAATGTGAGTATGAAGGGAGAATGATATGTTGGTTAAAAGAAGATGAAAATGAAGATGGAACAATCAAGGGGATGGAACCGGAGTTGATAATGCGGCTTACAAAGGAAAATTGTAGCATGGTAAACATCGGCAATTCCTTGTCTGAAATTGAAAAGCAGCAATTGCGGGAACGGTTGATCAAGGAAGTACCGGATGTATTTGCATTTAATTTATCTGAGATTGGAAAAACGGACCTAGTTCAATATGAAGTTCGTACGGGTGGAAGGATAATACCTCCAACACGAATGCGTCCCATACGAGTTAATAACCCAGAACATGCCAAATTGTTCGAAGAACATTTGAGAGAGATATTGAAACACGGGTTATTAGAAAAAGGAATGGGACAATACGCTTATCACTGTTTCCCAGTGAGGAAAAAGGAGGGTGGTACAGATAGTTTCCGAGTGGTTGGAGATATGAAGCCTCTTAATAAATACATTGTTAAAGATAGTTATTCATTATCATTAATAAGAGACATCTTGGAGAATGCGGCAGGACATGATTGGTATTCATGTGTAGATGCGTTTAAAGAATACTAGCAGATTCGTATTCGAGAAGAAGACCGAGACAAAGTTGCTGTCTCAACCTCGCTAGGCACACTTCGATATGCTGTAATGTGTATGGGCCTTAAGAACGCTAGTGAGACTTTTCAACGATTGATGGATACGTTGTTGGAAGGGGAAGAATGGAAAAAGGTTGCCAGGGCCTATCAAGACGATATTGGGTTGTGGACAAGTGGGCCGAAAGAATTCTATATTGAAATGTTTATTAAATTAGCTAAGAAATTCAGAGATGCCGAACTGACCTTTGCTGCAAAGAAATGTTTTCTTTTATGCAAGGAGTTGCGCATGTACGGCTTTATAGTTAGTAAAGAGGGAATTAAGGCAGATCCGACAAGGGCCAAAAGAATAAGAGAATGGAAGAAACCGACAAATCTTAAACAAGTCCAATCATTTATGGGAGTAATGAATTATTATCGGCGATTCATAAAAGGGTTTAGTAGAATCGCAAAGCCTTTAACTGATTTAACAAGAACGGAGGTTGGGTTCCATTGGAATAAGGCACAAATTAAAGCTTTTTGTACCTTAAAAGCTTCTTTATTAAACGAAGCCGTATTAAAAGGACCAAACTGGCAAGAAGCACATGATGGAAATTGTCCTTATCAACTCTTCACTGACACGTGCAATGTTGCACTCGGAGTAGTGTTGGAACAAAAGGACGCGAGGCAAAAGCTGAGACCAGTGTCTTTTGAGTCACGAAAATTAAATAAACATGAAGTTAACTACAGTGTGACAGAGAAAGAATGTCTGGGAATAGTTTTTGGCTGTAATGTGAATGAGCGCTATGTAGCTGGTACTACATTTGATGTATGGGTAGACCACCAGGCCTTGAGCTGGTTATTTAATAAAGCCATGTTAAAAGGGCGTCTAATGAGGTGGGTTTTAGCATTACAATCTTTCGACTTTCGTGTACAGTATAAACCAGGTAGGGAACATGGAAATGCGAATGGAATGTCCAGATTACCTGGCCCTCCCGAAGATAGGACGAATAGTGATGAAGAATTTGTAGATTCAATGATAATGTATGTTAGCCCAGAAAGTGTTAAATCAACAGATTTGGAGGTGGTCCATAATTATTTGAAGACCTTTTCCTGGCCTTCTGACGCAAATAATATAGATTTGAAGCGACTTCAAAGAAAGGTGCGGAAATATTGTTTAATTGGTAACAAATTATATGAAAGAGCAGCAAAAGGGAGGCCACAACGAAGAGTAATCTTCAGTGATGAGGAAAAAATACAAATTCTTAAGGCAAATCATGAAGGATTAGCGAAAGAAGGCGAACACCGAGGAATAAATTCGGTTACTCGAAAAATCCTGATGAATTATGTATGGGCAACGGGGGTAGTGTATAAAGATGCCAAGGAGTATATCTCATCTTGTGAAATATGCCAGAAGTGTACTCCGAAAATGCCACCTGAACCTATATATGTAACGGCGACAAGTTGGATTTTCAATAAGATATACGTCGACTGTATAGGGCCATTACCGCGAACAACTGCTAGATATGAACATATTGTCATTGCTGTAGAGGACTTGACAGGGTTCGTGGAAGGCCGAGCACTGAAGAGGAAAACTTTACAAAACATTGCCCAATTTTTGTGGGAAGAAATAATACTGCGTCATGGATGTTTCGCAGAACTGGTCTCTGACAGAGGAACAGAATTCAAAAACAAAATAATAAGTGAGCTCACCTTACGACTTCAAACCAATCATAGCTTCTCTGGCAGTTACCACCCTGAAGTGAATGGAAAGGCGGAAAGGGCGGTTCAAAAGTTGACTAGGATTTTAAGGAAGGTTTGTTCTGAGAAACAGAATAAATGGCATGAATACTTGCGTGAGGCACTTTGGGCCATGAACATTACTGTCAATGATTTGAGGTATTCGCCTTTCTGGTTAGTTTATAGTCGTGATGCTGTGACACCCATAGAATTAACATTGGAAAGTTATCAGGTTATAATAGCAAAGGATAGGTGGACGACTGATGAGTTACTCGAGTTCCGGGTGAAACAAATGAAAAATTTAGTATGTGAGTTAAGTGAGGCTTGAGAGAAGAAGGATATGGCGAAACTAAGGTGGAAAGAGTTTCACGATAGACATAGTGTTAAGAATAAAGAATCTATTGGTGTAGGAGATTTTGTACTCGTATATGACTCCACTCTTGATAATTCACCTAGAAAATTTGATTACCGATGGAATGGGCCCTATATAGTAAGGAAGGTGAGTAGTCATAATCAGCTATATCTGATGGAAGTAGACAGAAGTGAGTTGCGGGAGCCTTTTACTAGAAATAGAGTTAAGAAACTAAAGAGAAGATCAAAATTTGCAGATGTCGAACCGATCGTAAATAAGGTTGCCTTCGGGGACAAAGGCCAGGGAGGGTCTAGCTCCTGTCACGGGCAGAATCAGTTCTCCGAAGAAATTTGGATCCCGAAATATGTAGTAAGAGGTGTGACAATAGAGGGAGGATGTGTATAAAAAAAAAAAAAAAATAAAAAAAAAAAAATAAAATAATAAAAAAATAAATAATAATAATAATAATAATAATAATACATAATAATAACAATTATAAGTAGTAAGTAATAATGGATAATTATGGATTATACTTATACTTTCGCGTTCAAAAGATTCGAAGGTACAGTCGCCTACTTACGCATTGTGTCACGGGTGATTAATTATCCGAGACAATTATGATAAGAATAAAGATCAGTTAAGGTGCATAAAAAATATGTAATTAAGATAATAGTCAAATAGCGCATGATTGATTTATTATGTAATTAA